TTCAAGGAAAGTAGAATGAATGAATCGGATGTGAAAAAGCACTTGTCAAAATTGATTTTAGAGACAAAATTACCTGGACAAAGTGTTTACCTTTAGCCCTTGTCAGAATACGAACCGCTCCCAGAAAACACTGGTGGTGTGACTCTTTGCAAGAAAGACACAGAGATTGCACCCCTCAAATGGTAGTGGACCCTCTCCCTTGCCGCAGTCAAGCTGAGAGAGCTAACTTGGCAGAGGAGGAATGGCAGCAGGTCCCAGCTTGGTGATGCAGGCAACCCCCATCCCGACCTACCTCGGTTCCCCAGGTGCCTCTATGTAATAGGTTTGAAGCCCTGAAACTGGAGGATGCAGTGGCTGAGGATGAGGTGGGAGAACTGCCTCCAAGCGTTCCCAAGGAGAGGCATCCAGCTCCACGCTTAAAGACTGCCTCCTCCATTAAAGAAAGGAGGGTGATAGTCATAGGAGACTCCCTTCTAGGAGGAACTGAAGGCCCAATATGTCAGCCTGCCCCCACCCGCAGGGAGGTGTGCTGCCTCCCTGGGGCCCGGGTCAGGGATATTTCTAGGAAACTTCCTAGTTTGATCTGCTCCTCTGATTATTATCCCTTATTGATAGTCCAGGCTGGCAGTGATGAGGTCACTGACGGAAGCCTGAGGACTATAAAAAATGACTTCAGGAGACTGGGGAGGTTAGTTGAAGGAGCAGGCGTATAGGTAGTATTTGCCTGTATTCCTACAGTGGCAGGGAAGGATGCTGAGACGACCAGAAGAACACACCTTATAAACACGTGGCTGAAAGGCTGGTGCAAAAGCAAGAATTTGGGGTTCTTTGATCATGGGGCGGTCTACTCGGCACCTGGCCTGGGGTCTGTTGATGGGTCTCACCTGTCGCGAAGGGGGAAATGGATCCTTGCCCAGGAGCTGGCAGGACTTGTAGAGAGGGCTTTGAACTAGATATGAAGGGGGTAGGGGATAAAACCAGGTCTGCTAGAGATGAGCCTGGGGGAGCGGCAATGGGATTAGGGATGAGGCGAGGGGCTCGGCTGAAGTGCATCTACACCAATGCACGCAGCATGGGCAACAAACAAGAAGAGTTGGAAGCCATGGTGCGGCAGGCAAGCTATGACCTAGTCGCCATTACGGAAACGTGGTGGGACTGCTCCCATGACTGGAGTGCTGCAATGGATGGCTACAAGCTCTTCAGGAAGGATAGGCAAGGAAGAAGGGGTGGTGGTGTGGCTCTGTATGTTAGAGAGTCCTTTGATGTTACTGAGCTTGTGGCTGGGGATGATAAGGTTGAATCCCTATGGGTAAAGATCAGGGGAAGGGCTGACAAGGCAGACATATTGGTAGGCGTCTGCTATAGACCACCAAACCAGGATGAAGAGACAGATGAGGTGTTCTATGAGCAGCTGGTAGAAGCTGCGAGATCGCCAGCCCTTGTCCTCATGGGGAACTTCAACTTCCCTGACATATGCTGGGAATACAACGCAGTGCAGAAGAAGCAGTCTAGGTGGTTTCTGGAGTGTATGGAGGATAACTTTCTGATGCAGCTGGTGAGAGAACCTACGAGAGGAGCTGCCCCTCTAGACACTTTTTGACCTGGTAGTCTCTGCTGGGGAGCAGACTAAACCACCCACGATTCAGGAGGAAACAGTCAGAGACCTGCTACTCCAACTGGACTGTCACAAGTCCATGGGGCTGGATGGGATTCACCCGAGAGTGCTGAGGGAACTGGTGGAGGTGACAGCCGAGCCGCTCGCCATTGTCTATCAGCGCTCCTTGTTGACTGGTGAAGTACCAGAAGACTGGAGGCTTGCCAGTGTGACTCCCATCTACAAGAAGGGCTGTAAGGAGGACCCGGGAACTACAGGCCTGTTAGCCTGACCTCGGTGCCAGGGAAGGTTATGGAACAGATTGTCTTGAGGGAGATCACGTGGCAAGTGTGGGACAACTGGGGGATCAGGCCTAGCCAGCATGGGTTCACGAAGGGCAGGTCCTGTTTGACCAACCTGATCTCCTTCTATGACCTGGTAACCCGCCTGGTGGATGAGGGAAAGGCTGTTGATGTGGTCTACCTAGACTTCAGCAAGGCCTTTGACACTGTCTCCCACAGTATTCTCCTGCAGAAGCTGGCAGTCCATGGCTTGGACAGGTACGCTCTTGGCTGGGTAAGGAACTGGCTGGAGGGCCGGGCCCAGAGAGTGGTGGTCAATGGAGCTAAATGCAGCTGGCGACTGGTCACAAGTGGTGTTCCCCAGGGGTCGGTGCTGGGGCCTGTCCTTTTCAATATCTTTATCGATGACCTGGATGAGGGCATTGATTGCACTCTCAGTAAATTTGCAGATGACACCAAGTTGGCTGGAAGTGTCGATCTGCCTGGGGGTAGCGAGGCCCTACAGAGGGATCTGGACAGGCTGGATAGCTGGGCTGAAGCTAATGGCATGAGGTTTAATAAGACCAAATGCCGGGGCCTACACTTTGGCCACAGCAACCCCAAGCAAAGCCACAGGCTTGGGGCGGAGTGGCTAGAAGACTGTGTAGAGGAAATGGACCTGGGGGTGTTGGTTGACGCT